TATTATATCCTCTAAATCTTTCATTAGGTTGTTCTAAGTTTTGACTGATATTTTCCTTGCATTACAAAAGACATCATCCCCAAAAATTTATAATGGTATTATTCTTATTCTTTAAGCATTTTAACTGTTGGATTATTTAAATATTACTATGCAGTAGCCCAACAAATTATCTAAATGGTCAAACCTGATTTCTACATCTTTCCTGAAAAGAAAGTTACACTGGAATCTAGAATTGTTACGATCTGACTGTCTCTTGTAAAAGGTGCATCGCTCGGCACATCTGCCTCAGAAATGTTATAAATTACATGTGCTAAAATAAGGTGTTAACATTTATTTATCTAATACGTACTATAATTTTGATGCACCATTTTACAGTTTCTTATCAGCTTCCACAGGCTTGACCAAGTTAGTTACGGATCATCAAAATATCACCATTGTATTATTTGCTTCAATTTTTTACTTAATGCCAAATTTACTCAAAAAACAGGTCATTAATGCTTAATCTTGGGTTTTTGTCCAAATCAGTTTTAGTCTATATTATGACTTCACCTCATCTCACATTCTCCTAGAGCTAGTCCAATTCCCACTAAAGTTAAAAGCAAGTTTCCCACTGATTTAATGGCAGCTTGATTAGACTCAACATTTCCTTAACACAACTCTTCTAAATAACAAGCCTTTTCAAAGTCTAAAGTATACTATTTTACTATGCTCAAAATTTTAGACTACAATTTGTTCAACTGAATTTGCTAGGCTTTTTTGTGTTATCATCACATTTTACTTGTTTAACTGGGATGTTATTATCTGAACATCTTTTTCTGGTAACAAAGTCTGATTTATGGCACTTGCATCTGATTCCTGCATCGTCTTTAGATTGTAAGTGTGGCTTCCTAAATAAAACTTTTTTGTTCCTCTCAGATACTTATTTCTGTAGTTCCTTCAGTATTTAGGTCACAGTTCAGTATTTGTGATATAGAAACAGTTACTTCCCTCTTAAGAGACTTATACATAAGCTTTACAGCAATTCTCAACCAGGGTGCCACCATTAGGTGTACAAACATAATTCACAGGATCAACCCAGACATTTCAAATAGGAATCTATAGTGTTAAAAATATTTTGCCCTATTGTGGTCTTTCTGAGTTCTTTGCAACAGCTCTATTATTGTTTGGCATTCTAAGAGCGAGTGAAAATAAGAGCTGGCATTATCCAAGTGGCGCCTTGAGTCAGATGAAGGGTGCCTCCAGTCTAAAAACGTTGAGAACTACTGTCCTACTGTAACAATCCAGGTGGGTAGGGTACAGCAGCCATATCTTGTGTGGGGTCAACAGAAAAGGCACTGTCCTGCCCCAGCAAAGGAACAACTCTGCTGCTAAGGCAAGTAGGTTCCAAACAACACAAAAATCATCCCTACCAGGGCACAACATAAGTATCAGCACTTGTTTGCAGTTTACTCTTTAGTTGCTTTGTCCTGACTAAGAGCCCACTGGAACTGCCTCACCTAATTAAAATTATTTTAAAAGACTTTCCTGGAACCAAAACACAGTAAAAGAAAAAAAAGAGTCAAGGAAAATATCTCCAGATAAAACTTTCAAAGGTGTCTAGAGTTCTCAGTCACTTATCAGTTTTTAGAAGTTTATTTTGTTCATTTGGAGGTTTTACAAGCCAAATGCTACATTTGGGTTCAAATCCTCTCAATAATATTTTTCTTTAACACTATAAAGATGCATGTGTTCATTAACTGGGAATACTCCAATGAGTATTTGGATGCCCTGAATATTTTTTGTGTGCTTGGTTTTTTTTTGGAGACAACAGCTTTCTCTATGTTTTATATAAATTACCTGACAGTCCAGTATTACATCTGCAGTGTCTTCTATACTTTGAGAGAGCTGGGCTTAGAAAATAGTCATTTTAACTCGTAACCAAAGTAAACTAAACTTACTTTCTTTTCTAGACATTCTGCAAATTTCAGCTGCTTCAACAGCTTCTTCTGCTTGTTGCTGAAGCGATTGTCCTGTTCTGCACTTGTTCCCTATAATAAATGCAAAGAGTTTAGTTTGTATAATATTAACATTTGTTCTAAACAGTTTAAGTTCTTCACCACACATTATTTTTGTTAGAAACACTGACAAACTGCACAGCAATTACAAAACATACCAGTTAAACCACTTTTGCATACATATAAGCCCTTTCAAGCAGCATTTCAATTCAGTACTATGATCTTCATTTCCTGCTGAAGAGTTCATGGTAATCAGGTTTCAACCTCTGCAGTGATACCTTTATTATATATTCACCACAGTGTGATGCTTAAAAAATTGAAAGGCATGCACAATGCTATCTAATTTTGTGACATATAGTATGCAACACAAAGATCTGTTCAGAAAGCATCCTTTCAGGGTTTGTTTGTTTTTGAGGAGCAGTTTTATAAAGAATTTAGGGTATTGATTTAAACTAAAATATTAAAATTTGCTTTCACAGCCTGCAAATTTCTAGAATATGCATTCTAGAAGTCAGTGAAAATAGTATTGACTTCTAGAATGCATGCTCTTCTTGAAACTTTTTGTCAGGGATGCATCTGATTAGGAAGTTAGGCTCTTACAGTCCAACTTCAGAAGTGACAGTTCCATGTTAGACGTGTCATATTAGACTACTAGGACATGGCCTTTACTCAAGCTTCAGACGACTTACTTTAAAGCTTATCACTATCCTCAACAGCCTCTAATACCCATGTAGTAAACAACAGGATACAAAAACAAAACAACCCCCCAGCCCCCTCCCCAAAAAAGTACTTCACTGGTCTCACTGTATTAAAGTATTTCAATCCATTGCACTTTTCTGTGTTGAAAGTTCAGTTCTCTTGCAGTTCTATGCACAGTTAAGCTAAAAAGTCCAGTCTTTGAAATCCTGCTGAAGTAAAACGGAACTACTTACACAAGTATGGATTTACAGAATTGGAACTGAATACTGCATGTTTTGAGATCACAATACTGCAAAAATTAACACAGCTTAGTTGCCCAGACTAAGATCTAAAACACTTTTCATTTGTTAACAGTTCAAAAGAAGACCAATTTTCATTTGCAAAGCTTATTTAGGCAGCTACCAATACAGCTACTCTGAAACAGACTTAATGCACTCAACTTTATTCATTATGTGGGCAAGTGTGCATTTTAACCAGAGCACAACCAAGTACAGTGACTTTTTCCAGCACCTGGGTCCTTCACTTGACTTTGATGTCACTTAGAATTTAGCCCAAGGTCTCTGCAGTCTCTTTTTGCTACAGAATAATCTGATCCTGAACTCTTGGCTCACCAGCTACATGGTATGCCACAATACATGACTGCTTCAGCTTCAGTACCATCTCCTTTCAACTTCAGCCCAGACACACAAAATAAAAATATGGCCACTCTAAAAGCACATTCATTTTTTTCTTGCTTTGTTATTAATTTGGCACTGCAGACATTATAATTGGGCACTTCCCCCTGTTACTTGCTGGCAAGACGAAATGCTACAAAATGAAGTCATCACATAGTTAGAAATGTAACTCAATGTTCTCATCAGCAATTTTGAAGCACAGATATGCTACAAAATGGCATTTATAAGGAATAAACTAAATCCATTTAAAATCTGTTTACAAAAACTGAAGATCCTTCAGTATGTTTACAGATCAAAGGGTTTGCTGTTGGTGGTCTTTTTTTAAGGGGGGGGGGTAATATTATATCCAACATGTTGAGTCACTCGCACATTCAAGACCCTTCTGTCAAAAGCGAGATTCACAATCTAAGGCAGAAAAAGCTGTCTAACTTTCTGCAGTCCAGCTGCTGACAATGTCACAAGATATAAAAAGTTTTGCCAGATGCCAGAAGAGCTTTAAAATGGTATGGTAACTGCAACGCAGAAGCCAAAACATGAATTACATAACAGCATTTTGAGAACGTGAAGTGCTGAGAGCAGGTAGCAGCAGTCCTCTTCTCGTGTCTAACCTGCTTTAGCATAATAATAAAGATTATTACTGACCTTTCGCTTTCCCTGAACTAATACGAAAACAGACAAGGGATCTGGTTGACACTTTCAAGCTTCCCCCATGTCACCCTGTGAACTGAAGTGACATGACCTTCCAGCACCATTGCCACCTCTAGCCTCAGAAACACCCGTTTTTAATGCGTGAGCTTTCAAACTGCAGCAAGTGGCTACAAAATCTAGCTGGTCTAATAAAAGACATCACCTCTATCACCAGTCCTGACACCTTCTGCCTCTAAAGCAGGGGCTCCTGACGTTTCACCCGAGGGCACATCCAAATTGAAAAGAAAAAAGCAGCGGGCGCCAAAACAAATATTAAAGTTTAGAATTTCGTCCATTGCTTAAAACGGCATTCGACCTGCGACTTCCTTTTAACTTTGTAATCTGCTGAAGTTTTATCCCTGGCACCCACGGGCAGCACATTGGGAGCTGCTGCCCTAGCCCAATACGGCTGCAACCTGGAGACCTACAGGTAGCAGATACCTTGAATTCTTTGTTTCTTTCCAGCTAAATCTTGATTTCTTTCCACATGCTACCTAAAGGGCTTTAATTCTTTCTTTTCTTTATTTTTTCGTTATTTCCGTTTCCCTGAACACGCCAACTTCACCTTCCTCAAGCAACCTGACCCAAATTTAACACTGTAATTTCAATTTATTTTGGAGAATGCCACCCTGGTAATAACCCCCCACCCCTCAGCTTCACATTGTGAATATTGAGGCCCGGGAAAGGAGTCACTTTTAGGGTCCCAAACCACCCTTCGAGGAGAAGCAAAACTCCTATTTTCCTGGCCGGCCTTTAACCCCTCAGCATCGCTTGGGGGTGGACAATGAGACACGTGTCGGCGGTTTCCAGCGCCCTCACAAAGCCCGCTCCGGGCTCCCCCGGGGGAACGCCCGATCCGCCGGGCGGCGGTCACACGAAGCCGCGCCGCTGGGCCAGGCTCCCGCTCCCCAGGGTCTTCCTCGCGCCGCACACGGGCATCTCTCCGCCTCCCCGCCGCCATTTTCTCCGCCCGCCGCGCTCCTCACAGGAGCCTGCGCAGGGCCGGGGGGGGGGGCGAAGGCGGCGACAGGGCCCAGCTCAGCTCGGCTCGGCTCGGCCCGCGCCCCACCCCGCCGCCGGCCCCGCGCGCCCCACACCAACAGCGGGCGGCCCGGCCACTTACGCGGAAGAAGCCCGCGTCCATCTTGCCTCCTCCACCTCCTCCTGGTGGCAGAGCGCTCCCGTCTCCCGGCGTGCACCGCGCCGCCCTCACGCACGCACGCACGCGGCTGCAGAGCGCCCTCCTGTGTCAACCAATCCGCGGGCGCATTGGAGGACGCGCCAGCCAATCACAAGGCAAAGCGTCTTTTCTCTCTCTCTCTCCCTCTCTCTCCCTCCCCCCCTTTTCCTCCTCCCTCTCCCTTTTTTTTTTTGGCGAGGGGAATTGTGGGAAACGAGATGAGAGGCACCGGCCAATCGGAGCTCGAAGCCTCTTTCATTCCCCGCCCACGCGCCAGAGAAAGCCAGGGTCACGTGATGTTTGCGTGTCAACGGCGCCTGCGCGGGACAGACATGGGAGGGTGGAGGAGGGGAGCTGGAGTTTGCCTGCCACACGTTACATCCATAAAGCGCAGCAACTCTTGGTTCCAAAATGAAACCTTGTATGAGACCAGTTTCGATTGGGGCCTGTGTCTCGCTGACCCAGCAGCCACCAGGAGGTCTTGGGTAGGAACGTCACTATGCTGCATGACCTCTTCCTGCAGCTCTTCACACGCTTATCCTAATCAGCTCTGGCACCCAAAGGCGGCAGGGGATCTTCGCGGCTCTGCAGGCGTGAGGGAGGCCAGGACAGAGCATCTCCCACAACTCTACATTTGTCCCAATAAAACGTGCCCCCCCAGAAAAACCTTGCTTCTCACAGACTTCCCTAACCGACTGTGATGCACTAACCTAAGGCAGAGATTGCTTGTCTGACAGCTTCGGTTACTTGTGCTGAGATCAACATTTATCCGAGACAGAGCGTATCTGTTTCCAAGTCATCTCCTGCTGACATTTTGAGTGACAACGAACAGCACTTCCGACGTCAATGACCTTGACGCCCTGTTTCGACTTTGACATCAGTTTCAACTTTACGATGCTTGATCCGATGTGACGCGACACCAGCAAACAAGTTCGCTGCGTCACCCATCTCCCTGGAGAACATCTGTCCAAACTTCCTGGGACACCTTCTTTAGGAAAGCCGAGGAGACTCCAGAAGAACCTGCAGCCGAGACTCCTGAGAAGACTCCAGTCAAGAACCCTTCAAAAAGTCCAACCAAGAGTCCTTCAAAACATCCAGCAAAGTCACCTCAAAGAAGTCCTTCCAAACCAATAGGATTGCTATTTACAACATAAATAGATTAATGTAGCTATATTACTCATCTATAATTAATTGAGTACAAAATTCTGGGTTATTTTTGGTGAAAACAGGGTATCGGGCCTTGGTTCAGGAACCAATCCCTCGTTTATAGCATTGTTTCCTATGGGAAAATCGGTTCCGAGTTACAGGGTTTCAACTTGAGCCATGGTTTTCAGGAAACAGTTGCGTCATAAGTCCGAGGACCGCCTGTACAGAATTAAAAACAAAAATCCTTTGGATGGATATAACCCTTTGTATTTTGGAACATAACCCAAGGGCGGGCAATTATTTCAGGCGGAGGGCCGCTTACTGAGTTTTGGCAAGCCATCGTGGCCCACAGACAGGCATCTGGGGGCAGATAAATATTAATTTTCTAACTTTTTTATGGTCCCTGTGGGCCAGATAGAATGGCCTGGTGGGCTGCATCCGGCCCACAGGCCGCATTTTGCCCACCCCTGAATAAGCTAATCTAACTGGAAGTAGAAAGTAACTTCCTCTGTTACTTGATTACACCTGGGTTATTACTGCAGTTCCCTCTGCATGTGGTACCAGCTCCTGTCCTAGACAAAGTACTGGATTAGACAGCTCACTGATTTGATACGCTGTGGCAATTCCTATATATAGTTAGAATTTGTTCCATATTAAAGCAGCACCGTCTACTTAAAAAATAGCCTTCTACCTGAATAGTGGGCTTTTCTTTGTATCTGAAAGAAATATACAAAATGTCCACAAGAGAAAAAAAGAGGATTCCTTTAGGGTTGATTACACTGAGCTTGTGACAGTGTGAAGCCAAAACAGCCTGCATGGTGTTTTCAAGCCAACAGAATCTTTCCTGTTTTTCACAAATCCAGACTGGAGTTGCTGTTCTGTTGAATCAGTGAAAAGTGCTCTGATAACACGAGGCAGTGGTGAGTTGTTTGTAAATGGAGATAAATATCTGCAGCCTTGGCAAACACAAAACCCATGAACAAAGCTCAGGATTTAATTGCTTACAGTTTTATCTATAGGGAAATACTGCCCAACACAGTACTGTCCTACCATGCAGCAGGACAGTAGGTGGAGCCCTATGTCCTTTGCTAAAATTTTTCAGAGGAAAAATACAGAAAGAAGAGCCTGTTTGCAGGGATTTGGCTATACAAGACTTTTGAGAGCAGGAAGTAGGGACATTTTTCCTGGACTGGCACCACATTGGTGGAGCTGTCATGCCAACTGTTTAATTCTCTGGACCCAGTCTCTCTCACACTTCCATGGTTTATGAAGTCATATACAAGCCAGAAGGGAGTCATAGACACCAAAGTAGATATATCTACATGACATGACAAGGAACAATGGACACAAATTATTAGAGAGTAGGTTTAGATTAGACATCCGCAAGAACTACTTCACAGTTAGGGCAGCTAGGAGCTGGAACTAACTTCCTAGGGAAGTGGTGCTGGCTCCTACCGTGGGGATCTTTAAGAAGAGGCTTGATGACTACCTGGCTGGACTCATTTGAGTCCAGTCTTTTCTCCCGCCCAGGCTGGGGGTCGGACTTGAAGATCTACAAGGTCCCTTCCGACCCTACTTCTATGATTCTATCTATAATACATGTGAGCCAAGCTCACTTCATCAGCATCTGATTAAGGGAGCTTGGGCTTCCAAAAACCTGGGCAATACACATAGATAGATCTACTTGGTTAGCCTGCAAGTTGCAATCTACCCTGCCCTCTGTTTGACTTCAGACTAATACAGCTACCTATGTCAGCCTACTCTGCAGCCAGGGGAAATTTAACTATTGCCTCAGTGACCATGGCCAGACATTTGGTTCCCCAGGGACAAATAGCAGCAGCACACCTTGTGCCACTGCTACTTGTCCCTGGGGAGCGCCTGTGCCATGTGTGCAGCAGGTTACCCTGGGTGGAAGGGGAGCCTGGGGACAGCAGCAGCCGTGCTGGCCCCAGCAGCCTTACTTGGGGGCCAGGGAAGCGACAGCCACAGTACTCCCTGCAGCTGGGAGGCTGGCCAGGCTTTGGTTTTGGGCAGCATGCACTGCTGCCATGCGCAATGCCACATTTTTTTTCCCCACACAGGTTTTTTTGACCCCCAAGATCTCCTGGGGTCACTAGACAATTTGGGCTAAATATTCCTTTTGCTGTTGCTTCAGGTTGCCTTTTAAGAAATATTTTGTAAAATAAAAGGAACATTACTGCCACCAGTTTTGGGGATCACATATCTGTTTTGTAAGACAAAAGTAAAAAAGTCTTAATTTTCACAAAATAAAGTGCTGTTTATTATTGCTAAGCAAACAAATACTTCTAAAAACATTTAAGACCACATCAAATGAAGTGTTAAATGTTGCATGAGTCACAGCTCTATGTACACATACTAGTAGCATTTTCCAATAGGTGTCAGTGAAAGAGATAATGTGGCATGCTATTCTGGTCCCTTGAGGGATGGCAGGTGTGTATGGGCCAAGGCTCAGAATGATAGAATTTATTTACACCAGTGGTTCTCAATATTTTTAGATTCGAGACATCCCTTGTTAGACTCAAACTGCCCCTTGCAATATACCAGCCCTTAGTTTTTGCTAGTTTTGTGACTACAGAAAAATACTAGAGCAATTCTTCCGCTGCAAAGAGCTTATCAGGCCCACAACAGGTCAGAATGATTTAACACTGGATTCCTATTTGAAATCTCTGGATTCATCATGTGAATCACGATTGCACACCCAACAGTGCTAACACTGTGTAGCACCCTGGATCACCCTTGACAGGATTTCAGTGTACCTACCCCAGAATGCCATGGGACACTGGTTGAGAATCATTGGTTTATATCATACAACAGGTTGTAGTAGGGAAGGCTTGGGTGTTTTGCTCAGTAATGTTGTGTAGCATCTGCATTTGCTTTCTCAGAAACTGCATGATTTCTTGGTGCACATCTCTACACACCTCTGTCCTTCTGTCTCTCCTCCAGGTTGCATTCCCTCCATTCCTTTGTTTTGCAGGCTGGGAGCTCTAAAGAAGATCAGAGATCAAGTCCTCCCTTTTCCATTTCTTCCTCTTCCTGGTAAGACTCAGTCTTTCGGCAAGTGTGGAGGATCTGCTTTCTAAGGATGCAGCATCCAGGGCCACTGAATAAAAAAAAAAATATAGAGAGAGCTATTAGATGTAGAGGGATAGTAGAAAGGAAAAGAAGTTTGTGAAAAGGCATTAATAAAAATACAAAGTGGGGCAAACTTGCATCCACCTGAAAGTCCAAAATGGGAGTAGGTTGGTCTTCACTGCCTGGTTCTGCAAGCCAATACAGAGCCAAGCCCTTGAGGCACCGTATACACCCTCCATCTCTTTCTCCCCCTTTGAATCTCAGCACAGCAAACAAGCATTTTGCTCTGGACATGGACCAAAAAGCTACCTTTTATGTTTTAGTATCCATGTTACTCTTTTATTCATAAAAATCAATTTAAGTGACCAGTTGCTGATTTCAAAGATTACTTTGAATGGTCTCTAAGACCACTGAAATATCTACTGCAATGTTTCTCTTCCTCTTTGTAAGGCACTGATTTACGTTACTAGACATACTATCTGCTCGCCCTGCCAAAATAGGTATTTGGGTTTGGTTTTGGTTTACTTCTAGCACGCACTCTTTATTTTGTTTCCTGTGACTATCAGCACATGTTTGAATGAACTGGTTATTTCAAAAGGCAGCTTCTTTGTTTTGTTTTGAACCCAGGCATGTTTGGCCACCAATTTCAAAAGGAGGAAATTGAGTGGGGAAAAAAAAATTTAGACCCAAAAGGGAACAGGGGAAGTCTTGTAATAATACATGTACCTGAGCTTCCTTCCACAGTGGGTTTCAATTTGGGGCTCAACTAGGCCTCCCTGGGGTCCTTCAAGTCCCTCTCCTAAGCTCGTTGCCAAACTACACTGCTCTCTCCAGCTGTCACAAGCTATCCACTGCCACTTGCAAGTGGTGGGTTCCAAGCAGTGTGGCATTCATTTCTGCATAATAGAGTGTAGTGGGCATGAAGGATGGCCCCAGATTCTCTATTGGCTTCATCTACCCATAAGCAGAACTGCTACTGGTCCTTTCCGTTTTGCCCACAGTGCTGCCATTCCCTGCCACACCCCACTTTTTGCAAGTCCGTTGCAATGTCTGAACAAACATCTTTATTTCCACAATAATTCCAGAACAGGCCTTGCCCTGCTAGTTCTCTACCACTGGCTGAAGCAAGGGTATCCTCCAAGTTGGAGCAGGCAGCTTGTCTGACATTTACTGAGGCACAGGTTTAACTTTGTGCCAAACCTGTTTGCTCAAGTAGCAAAGGTGTGCTTGCAAGGGTAGACTGCAAGGAAGAGACACTTTTCCAACTATTAAAAATTCCACTCACAAAACAGCTTTCCCAACTTCAGCATTGGCAAAAATGAGATATCACTCAAAATAGTGAGAAAATGCTTGTATAAACTTTCTGAGCTCCACTTGCTTCCCTGACCTTAATGCCTTGGTTGGGCTTGATTATGACTCTGCTAAGCTCCTTCATTGATAGGGGAAGATACTTGTCACACACACAAACTCCATAAATTGGTGAGCTCCACTCTTCTTTTTTAACACAAGAAATTAAACTGTTCACTATGCATTTAAATCACCCCTGGGCATTCTGGTTATCCTCACCTGAGATAGATGGGACAGTCTGCATCATTGCTGCTGTTCTAGGCTCTCTGCAAGCACTTCCTTGCATCAGGTAACCTCAAAAACAGGAGCACAGTGTTTCTTCCCAAGCAGAGCAGCTGGAGACTTTGTTTGAAAGTTAGAAACAGATTCCAGAAAACAAAATAGTAACTTCCAAGAGGTGCTGGGATGGTGGGCAAGTACTTCCTACGTTGGCCAGCTTTTTGCCTTTAGAGCAGATCACCTTGTTCTTGCTTCTTGTTATGTATTTTAACTCGAACCATTCAGGGGGATCAGGCTGGCTTATGGCAGAAGTGAAGTCAGTCTCAAATGAGCGGCAATGAGATTGCTTTCAAGTTTCAGGCTTTTTAAAAATCCTTATTCAAAATCGAAAAGTTTAATTAAACTCCTATTTAAACGACAACTATGTCCCAAGTGAGGCTGGCCTTCAGCCATTCGCAGAGCTGCTAGGCTAACAAATATAGATCATTAAAACACACCAGAAAGCCTGTGTATATCTAAGCTGTGAAACAGGAGAATAGTAGACCACAGCAGCCTTCTCTATGAAGCAGCAGGAGATAAAGTGGCCTGCTAGCTAACTATACACCTGGATCTGTACTAATACAAACCAGTCTCTTAATACAAATCCCAAAGTGTAATTTAAACTTGCAGAAGCAAGCAAATTCAGAGGTAGAGGTTATGCTTTATTCAGTTCATTCTCTGTTGCACCTAGGTATTCAAGCATGTGATGCATTATTATATGTAAACTGGGTGTGGAAGGGAGGAGGTTGCTGTTCTTTAGGACTCTACCACATACATCAGTGTCTAGGGGCTTTTTGCACAAGGTGGATATTAGATGAACAGGCTATACAGCTTTCTTCCAAACCATTATCATCTATGCTGTCTGCCAGCATTTAGGCATGCTTTAATATCTGGACACAATGGACCATAGAGTATGTGACAAAGCAGCTGCTGTGTGTGCTAAGCCAGTGGGCCTGCAAAATATCCTTGGGAGATTTTTGCTGAATTATTGGACACCCACAACAGCCCAGGCACTTGCGGTTGCTTTGAAAAAAACTATTTTTACTCCAAAAAAAATAGCTGAAATGTAATCTGCATTACAACAGGAAATTCAGAGGGGGTGTGGGGGGGTTAAATTACAGAAAAGTGCATGTGCGCGTGCACACACACACACATACACACACACACACAGAAAGTATCACTCACTTTCCATTCCCATCCTCTCTTTGCCCTCTATTAATTTAAAAATAGAAGATTTCCCTGCCCCCACCATTCTGGGAGTTTGTAAAAAACATATATAAATAAAATAGTTCCCAAGCCAAAAGCAGTTTCAGCTGCTACCTTAAAACCCCTAAAAAAAAAAGGGGGGGGTTCAGGTGGATACTGACAGAATGATCATAAGAGTTTTCTTTTCTTTACAGAAAATATCACATGTGCACCCTCTTATCTGAATCCCTCTATGTTTGATTAGAAATAGGAGAGACAAACCAAGTGTGTATGCAACTGTTACTGCACATTACTATCCCTCATGCTTAATACACAAAACAACATACAAGCGAATTCACAAGTAAGTCTTAATGCATCCAAGTATAACGCACAACTATAGCCTTCACCTGCAGATCTTTCTGCTTGCCCACTGCCAAGCACTACAGGAGAAGCAGTGGCCCAAACTTCTCAAAGTAATCAAGACTACAGGAAATATATAAAAGATATTTTTGGCACTTAATTGTTTTCTATACAATTGGAGATGTTAAATCTTTTCCTGGTAGCTCGTGTCCACCACAGTGTTAGATCAGTCACATAAAAAAGGTACTCAGGCCTTTTATTTTTCCTTGGAAAGAAAGGCAACATGGCTAGTTCCTTCCTGTTTGGTTTTGGCTTCATAGGCAAAAATCCTGAACAACGATTATTCCAATGCCAATCCTCCTCCACTCAAGTCACAAGCCTGCGTGAATAAAGGGTCTATCTTAGTTTTCATTCTTCCAGGAAAACAGTTTTTTGTAGGCAAGATAAAACATCCAGTCATCTGTTTTGCATGTGGATATCCACTGGTATAAAAGTTACTGTTGTGGGCTGCTTTATGCTGTTGCTATTTGGTCCTAAAGGAGGTGGGGTTGTGGTTTTGGAGCTCTTGGGTTCCAGCTCCCGTTTTACTCTCATGCGCCTGCAAACAGAAATACAGTTAAAATCTCATAGTCATTTGTTGCTTAAAGGGATGTAGTCTCTCCTAATCTCAGTGTAAGGAAGGACTGCCAAAGCACATAAAATCCACTGAAGAGGGTTCAGCCAGATTTCATCTCAACATCACTAATGACTAAGCAACATGGACCTGATAGTCACATTGGTCCATCCATATCTCTGCCAATTTTTCCCACGGAAGTGTTGACACAGTGTAGTTTGGGTTGCCCTTGGGATTTCAGCAATTAAGTACTGATGTGGCATGATAGCAGCTGACATGATGACAGTCTTTGATTTATCCTGTTTAAATATAGCAAAGGAGATTAAGAACAAAGTCCTGTACCTGTTATATGTTTTCAATAGGAGCAGAACCGCTGTAAAAATAATAATCACTCCAACTACGATGGCAGCTACTATTGCTCCAGAACCTAAGGTGGGGGGGGGGGAAGAGAGAGTCTTGTTTAAATTAGTCTTGCAAAATTCTTTTCACACAGAGCACAATTATTTAATTTAAACTTATTTAAAAAAAAAAAACACACCACAAAAATTAAACCTGCTGCTATGATTTATTTTCACCAGAATAGCAGTTTGAAATACAAACACTAGGAGGGAGCAGGGGAGGGGGTTACCAGCCAATACCGAAGCACTTAGTCAGTCCTAAAATATATACAGTAAGTAAAAAGAAAAAAGAGAGAGAGAGATTCTCTGCTGGGGAGGGATTCTCACACCACTTGGCTTTCATTTGTGGCTTGGGTACTTTGCTGTGAGACAATGAGCCAGCCTTTTTTATGTTTCTATTTTTCCTTCCACTCTGTCTAATTTGTATGGTCTGTGGGGCAGAGACCATCTCATAATGAGTATATAGGTGCCTAGCTCAAGGTAGCTTGTACTCCAGGTTGAAGCCTTTAGGCATTACCATCACACAAATAATAGACAGCTACTCATCATGCCTGTGATTAGACACATATGTCACTTTTGCAGGATCAGGCTCTATGGATCAGATGTTCTTAATTAAGTGATCTTCATCCTAAGTGTAGGTGAAGGCTCTGTGCCTGGGCTAGTCATTTTTTATTCCAATTCTACAAAATTAAGCTTTTAAAATTCTATTCTATTAAATTAAGGACTTGGCTAAATAAGACAGTCAAGAAAGTCTGCCAGAATTAACTTGTAAGCAGATTAGTTACAACTGAGTTAAACACCTGTATGGACACTTACTCAGAATTACAGTGGTTTTAATGCAAGGTAACTTTATTCACTTTCAAAGTTATTTAATGCACATCTTTAGTTAATTCAGATGAACTTTCCTAAATGTCTCAGTGTATTTTAACCTAAGAGTTATCAATAAACATTTCCCCCCCTAATTTTAAACTGCCAACATCAGTTTAATGGCCGAAATCATCAAAATAAAACTGGATTAGGCTGACTATATTCCTACTGGAATACAAGAATGATGCTGAGAAGCGCGTGCTCACCAGAAGCCATGATCTTACTCTATCGAATACTGAAGATGAATTTTCAAGTTGTTAACAAGGGAGCTTGCTTAATTCCATTGTTTAACAGTATTTACACATTGGAATATTTTCAGGAGTCTTTTCAAAATCCAACATGGATGCATGGCATTTTAAATAGTTTAATAAAAATAATCAATCATAATAAGTTTTCTTACTCTGATAAAGAACTTGGTCTCGAGACTTTGTGGTCACATTTCCTGGAAACTGGGGATCACCACTGACTGCTGGGGCAGCTGTCGTCATCTTGATTCTGGCTAGACACACAGAAAGAAGACTGATTTTACAAAACACTGAACTAGCAATTGTTACCACCCATTTGTGATAACTGGACAATTGCCAACCAGCTATTTTGATCCTAAAGAGCCATTTGCGATCACGTTACAACACGAGTGCTTCCATTGAAACAAGTGGGTGAAATCCAGGCACCGAGGAAGTTTTGCCAAGGACTTTCATTGAGGCATGATTTCACCCACAAGCAGCAGAGGTATCATTCTAGTCCTAAGTGATTGATCTGCTTATAAATGTACACCATGTAGCACCAGAGATGCATGGGATGAAGTAAGCAATTCCAGGCTCTTGAAAAATGTGTTATTGCCATTTCACAGTACGAGCTTCAGAAGAGAAGTTACAGCACTAATAGGAAGCAAGTGGCAGTAGTCAAGCAAATTGTTGCCATGTGGCTCAGTAAAAGCATCAGACAGACTAGCTCTGGCATGGGACATAACATTCTGCCTCTGAAAGTGAAAATATGGTAAATCCCATACGAGAACCAACAATATCCTACTTGTCCAGAACACAGCCGATGGTAATGACGATACTCCAATGTCTGGGGCTTTGCTTTAGAAGTCAAATAATAGAAGCTTTTTAAGGACAATTGTATTACACACACCTGCACAATATTGAAAGATACCCTCCAGGATGACAGATTTTTTTCAATTTCTAAGCCAGTAAATAAGACAGATTTGAAAATAAATCAAGGGTATAGCATCTCAAGCATAATGGCTAAGTACAGTCAAAAAGCCTGAGGCTGAACCGATTCACTCTTTACAGGTTAGTCGAACATGCAGAGATGAAACTGAGAAACAACTAGACATGCATTTACTTTTGATTCAGAAAATGCAGCCGCAAGCCTGCGGTTACCAAAACTAGTTTCTTCTTCCATTACAGCCTGGGCCTGCTATTACTCGAAGTTAAGTCACCTTAAATTGAAAATCTTGCCAAGTACTTAAAATAAAGAGCCAGAAGCTGGGCTCCCAAACTAGCAGTGATTTTCAGAAGTAATAGGACACCCGGATCCAACAGGAACTGCTGGGTATTTGGCCCTTTAGAAAAAAAATAATCAGATTACTTCTGTGGAGACTTCAACATAGAATGAACCCCAGCCCTAGGGTAATGGCCAAACTCCCACTGATTTCACTGGGGCAAGGATGTCATCCTAATTTTGAAAACTTTGCCCCTCAGATGGTGGAACAGAAAGATATGACCCCTGTCTCTGCCACTGTGAAGTGCTGCGCCATAGCAAGACTGCCTGCACCATAGCAACAGTGCCTCATCCTAAATTTATGACAGTAATAACTCATTCTATTAATTGGTATCAACTAATAGGAAGGGGAATTCAGACTGTTACTGGCAGGAAGGGAAACAGACCCTTTTCCCAGTGTCTGTCCCAGGGTATTGCAAGGTTGATTCCGTTAAATGGCTCAACTCTTTAGTTTAGAAAAAAATTGAAAATAACTCTCTCCCGGAATCTGTAACTGGGTCATTCTCCTCCGACTGAATGATTCCTTTGTATAACCGAGGCCAAGTTACTTTTGTAACATGATGATCTACTCTGGTCATAGATCTTTTCCCCCTGAAAAGATTTTTTGGACCGTAAGCTCCTCCGGCCCTAGACCATGGCATTTTGCAAAGAGCTTACGGTGCTCATAAAACCTACAACCTCGTGTTGAAGATACTGCAGCTTCTCCACAAAGCTGCATTGTCATCATCCCCCACCACCCGCTGCAGTTGAAAGACCACCGTGGGATACGGTGTGTGTCCAGTGAATGAACACAGCCAAAAAGACATCTCAATACTTCTGGATGGCAGCGATGAGATAGAGCACGGGGTGATGCTGACCAAGTCCTCGGGTGCCACAGCAACTGCTCAGCTCTGTGCAACTCAGTACAGCACTCCCCGGTGTCGCCAGAAAGTTTTAAGGATGGAGGAGGGAAGAGGGGGCCTGTCCCCTCTTTCACCCACCAAAGCCACCCCAATGAGGCTTTACAGGCTGGGGAAGGCTGAGCAAATATTTCCTTTAGGGGCCTGATTCAGGGAAAAATATGCTGAGCTTTCAACCTGCACCTGACTGTTCACTGGGTGCAGAAGCACGTGCTTCAGATCCTAGCTCTTTCTAAGGACTAATTAATAGGATATTAAACCTTTCAGTTCCTTGTCCTCGGTTCATACTAAGTTACCACCTGGATCAGCAGCATAACAAAGAAAGGTTGGGGGCAGGGTGGATTTGATTTAACTCAAATCGAGCTAAATCATGATTCAAATCACTGGTCAGGAAGCCTTGATTTAATCACTGTTTTCTACAAGAAGTGCATTCTTGTTGAATAAAGGACATCAAACATTTAACTTCTTGAAACCTTGCACTTTTGGACAAAGGCAAGGGCTTGACAAACTTGCAGACACCCAATGGGGCTGATGGGTGGGTAATCATCAGGTCTGTCATCTCTCGTCTCCATGTACTGCTCTTAACAAGGATGTCATCTCTGGAGACAACACACTCTCTCTATGCCTGAAGAAGGACGTTTGTGCCCGAAAGCTTGCAAAGAACAATCTTCCCAACTATTTATTTGGTCTAATAAAAGATATTACATCTACCCAAAGAACCTTGTCTGTCTATGATCTCTAGAAACACAAATCCATAGTTTGAGAACTGAGACTAAAGCATAATGGAGATGCTTAATGGGATCTTCTAGAGTGAGCACTCAATCCCACTGGGTAGAGTGGTTTTCTTTAATCTTTACTTTAATTCTATAGAGGAGCCTCTGGGAACCCCATAAGATTGGGCCTCTTGTCCATGGCCACTTGTGACCTACTTATAAAACATCTAAAAAGGTTACATGAATATATTGTCTCAAATAGTATACAATTAGAAGTTATAATTCCTATTCCATGATGATATCTTTGAGTTTTAATATATCTTAAATTAGAACTATAATTATATATATTTTTAAAAAAGCATCTTAACAATAAAACCAAAACATTCAATTAAATAAAAACCACTTAATTTTAAAAAAATCCATTTTTAAAATTAAAAAACATCATTGATTTTTATCCACCCTGGTTGGGGAGAGGGGAGGTAGGGTGATCCTCATGGCAGTAGCCACAGATGCCAACATGGGGGGGCAGTGCATGTTGCATAAAAATAGCAGATTTGGCTCCTGCTTTCCCGGTTACCACACTGCCACCAGCAGCCTAGTTGCGGCTGCTGCCCTGTGGCGATTCAGTGTGCAGAACTGCCCAGCTACGTCTCCGATCTGGCTATGCTAATAGCAGCTGGTGCACTGGCATTTCTGGATGAAATGCATCTCTGCCCTAGAAGCCTGTAATCTCACCTGAAGTCACAGGTTCACCTGTTAGAGGAAGGATGAGTTTGGTCAGCAGACTAGGACTGGCTTTGAAACAGCCAGCTTGGGAAAGCTGAATGCGTTGCAAGTCCCTTTTCATAACGTTATCATAAACCTCAGATGTGAAGCGGGGGGGCAGCTTTTGAGAACTAAAACTGGGAGCAAGGAGCAATGTGGAGTATCGATCTCAGCCTCGCCCCTGTGCCTTGGGTAAGCCTCTCTGCTTGGTTTCTCACTTCTGAAACTGGGAGAGTTGCATGTTGCAAGGATAAATCACACTGGAGTCAGTGAAAAATATCCTGTTAGTTCCAATGGGCTTCGAATCGCATTCTACTTTGCTTGAAAAAAGTGTTTTAAAGCTAACACCACCGAGTAGATGCTACATAACAAGGGTTGTATGGTTTGCAGCCTCCAAATCCACTTGAAACACTCCCTCCAGGTTACGCACAGGACTGTACTTTACTCTGTGCACACACACCTGCTCTCGACCCTGAGAGCTGCTAATTTATGTGTAATTTGAGACATAAGGGGACCTGAGCCTGGGGAAATATTTCAAGGTGGATGCAGACATAGCCAGAAGAGTTATGCCTTGGGCACATTTCCATTTAAAACACCTTTGCAGATACAGTATGTTGGTTATTTTGGCAATACCACCATATAGAAAGCCTCCCCTGTACCCCTCAATCCCAGGGACTTCAATCTGAAGGGACATGCTCATTTGCCAGAGAGATCAGGGTTGAAATTAAGTAGACAAACAGCTCCTGCTACTGCCTGAAACACCTGGCAATTATAGAGGAGGGTGGTGGCAGTGGTAGAGAAGAGATAGGGATGGATCGTGTTTTTCCATCAGAGCTCAAATTCAAGCGTTTACTTTTTGCCATGGGAGGCAGGTGATGCTCGGGGAGAAATGTAGACTTCAGTGTTGAGTAACCTAGAAAAAGGGGTCTTTTATGTCATGAATGAATAATGGGAAAATTCAAGAGAGACTATTGGCATCAATTCCCGGTTTAAATGCTGGGTTATAACGGTAGTCAGTTTTAGCTGAATATCAAGCCAGCCATTGTGTCACCTGCAATAATATTGATACTTCTATTGCAGCTGCCCTCTGGGGTCTCCAAGCACAAGGAAGTAATTGTTCCGGCTCCACTGAGACATGGTTAAGAATAATATCATTCCTGTTTTCCAAGTGGGGAAATAGATGTTGAAAGAATAAGTGATTTGCCTTCCCCTATTTACACTACTGGTCAGTAGCAAGGTAGGGATTTTGGCTCGTGCTTCTATTTCTCTTGACTATCACTCTGCTTCTCGTCAACCCTAGCTGGCAAAATCCATCACTGGACCACATTCTCCAGTAACACACAGGACAAACTAAGAGCCCTGAAAGCACTGGATAAAACTAAACAGCCTGTGTAATTAATTAATTTCTTCATTGAGAAAGCTGAATCAATGACCATGTTAGCTGTTAGCAAGGGAAATACTCTGTGACTTTCAAACTTAAGGGCCTAATTTACTTTTCAACACTGGAATATGGGGTCCTACATCACTTAGATCATTTCACCAGAGGGTATCAGCAATCTCGAAGCAGCGATCAGCAAGCAGCCTGCGAAGGCGGTGGAATTATAGCAATTCCAAGG